ATATTTTTAAAATTATAAAAATATTCAAAATTTTTAAAATTCATGACAATTACAACCCATGCTCCAAGGCTTTCGTGCTGCTGGAGTAGAGACCAATGTCTTACCTCAGGCAAGGCCTTTTGCAACACTGGGCCAAAGGCATGAAAAGTAAGAAGGACTGGATGTTATGGATTAGTGTGTTACATCTAAGTTCTGATGTCTATCCTTTTTTTTATTCAATTTATTTACTATTCAGTCTTAATCTGAATTATTTGTTCATGATTGAAGTCAAAATCAGTGTATTCGTAAAGAACTAATCAGGGGTCAAGTGATTTTAACTTTTCCTTCAAATCTTACACTAGAAAAAGGAAAAATACAAGCAGTTTATTTACAAATAAAGTTTGAATTCCCTAAATTGGCGGATTGTACCTTGCTCTTTATTTTTCTGAGACTCTAAAAGAATGCTACTCTTTGAACTTCCCATGCTTAACAGATCGATTCTAGACATATTTGTTAGTGATTCTTTTCAACATCCATCCATTGTGTAATTTCAACCATTTATTTGCTTTCTGCATGTAAAGTTTATTTTCTCACACATTGAGGATGGGGCTGCAAATATCCCTGAATGCTTGTATTGTCCTTCTCAAGTATAATGCTTAAATTGAGGACCACGCAGCTCTGTTTTGTTTATGTTCTCAAATGTATGGTTTTCACCCCACAGGATTCGCAGCTGGCCGGCTTTGATATCCATCTCTAATCTGCACTTTCGAGACCATGTTGGAAGCAAGAAAGTCTATACCATTGGCAAGGACATTGGAACTACTTGCTACATCTGTGATGCAGCTTTCCTTTACCTGTTCCACTTAGCTAGATGCCCAAACCTGGATCCCTGCTCTATAGATCCCCTGCGACTATAGAGTATGGTGTTAAGAACTTTTTTGCCCAACGAATCCCTAATTTCTATGGCGTCGAGAACTTTTTAGCTTTCCATTGGTGTTTACTATGGTATCAAGAACTTTTCTGCTTTCCATTGGTGCTTACATAGTTTTTGTTGATTTCTTATTCACTTTAGACCATTTTCTACTTTTTTTGTTGGTATGATGTAGTTTACAATGACATTGTTGGTATGTTGTGTTCTACTTTTACATGACCAGATCTTTATTCATTACAAGCACTCTAAAGAAACACCATTCTTCTTAAAACTTTACATGTCTTAAACCCTCGAGACAATAGTATGACAAAGTTTTTGGATCAAATACAACTCGCTCAACTCTCAATACAGCGAAATCACCAACAGGTAGAATGCTAGAAGGAATTAATACCTCAACAAAGGTATGTCTTCATGTAGTCTTCTAAGTTGACAAAGGTTGAGTTTCATGAGTTCGCCAAGTACCACGGCCTGACAATTTTCTAGATCAAAGACTGAATGCTGTCTTTTGTGCATCTTTTCCATTAAATAGAAACTCTGTACATTCTATTCTAGGTAAAAATATATTTACCTATATAATATATTAATGACAGATATGCTAATATACAGCTAATATACATGGTAGAGCAAATCTCATAATTTCAGTCATAATCTTTACAATTATGATAGAATAGATCCCATAATCAGCTGCCCTTGATTATTGCAATTAGTAGACCAAATCCAATAATCAGCTGCCCATAATCAGATCCCATAACCTCTGCCCCTGATATCCCCCCTCAAATTGATGCTGGTCGATCAAAAAGCATTAATTTGTCAACCAGAAAATTGTGTCTATGCCGAGAAAGAGCTTTAGTAAGTATATCAGCAGTTTGAAGATCAGTGGTGATATGAGGAAGAGAGATAACATGATCATCATATGCTTCACAGATAGAGTGACAATTAACTTTAATATGTTTGGCACGCTCATGAAATACAGGATTAGCAGCAATGTGAATAGCACTAGTATTATCGGCATGAAGAGGAGTAGGTGCAAGTTGGGGAAACCCAAGCTCACCTAAGAGGCCTCGAAGCCAAATGATCTCAGAACATGCAGAGGACGTAGCACGATACTCTGACTCAATAGAGGACTTAGACACCCCGTCTTGCTTTTTGCTTTTCCAAGAAATAAGAGAATTTCCAAGAAACATGCACCAACCAGTAACTGAACGTCCAGTATCCGAACAACCCGCCCAGTCAGCATCACTATAGGCTACCAAATGAATAGGAGAATTTCTGGAGAAGAAAAAATCACGAGAGGAAGTGCCTAGTAAATAACGGATAATGCGATGAACAGCAGCTAGATGAAGGTCCCTAAGCGCCTGCATAAATTGACTAACTTGTTGAACAGCAAATGAAATATCAGGCCGACTAATAGTTAAATAGTTGAGACTTCCCACCAATTGCCGATAGAGAGAGGGATCTGAGAGAAAATCACCCTCATCACGGTGATATTTAACATTTACTTCCAAGGGGGTATCAACAGACCGACCATCTTGGAGACCTGCCAAAGCAATTAATTCCTGGATGTATTTATGCTAATGTAAGAAAATACCAGTTGAGGTAGACTGCATTTTTAGACCTAAAAAATATTGTAGAGGGCCTAAGTCCTTCATATGAAAAGAACGTTGAAGATGCTCCTGAAGTTGAGATATTAATTCAGAGTCATTTCCTGTGATAACAATATCATCAACATATACCAGAAGTAAAACAAGTCCCTTATCGGTCTGGCGAAGAAACAAAGAGGAGTCATACTGACTCTGAACAAAGGAGAAGCTAATAAGCGTAGAATGGAACTTATCAAACCAAGCACGTGGAGCTTGTTTTAAGTCATAGAGTGAGCGTTTTAGCTTACAAACATCAGAAGAAGATGTAGAAAATAACCCTAATAGTGGAGTCATATAAATCTCTTCTTGAAGATCGCCATGTAAAAAGGTATTCTTAACATCCATCTGTCGCAATGACCAGCCCTTAGAAGTAGCAATAGCTAGAACAATTCGAACTATTGTCATCTGGAGCAAAGGTCTCCTCATAATCTACTCCATACTCTTGCCGATTACCAAGAGCTACTAATCGTGCTTTATATCTTTCAAGTGAGCCATCAGATCTCAATTTAAGAGGAAACACCCGTTTACAACCAATGGCCTTAACACCATCGAGACAAGGAACAATATCCCAAGTATGATTCTCCTGAAGAGTTTGAAGTTCCTCGTTCATAACTTTCACCCAACATGCTTGTTTAGCTTCCTGTGAATAGGATGTAGGATCTGTAGTGTCAGTTATAGTGGCAGAGAAACCATACTACCAATCAGGCGGACGACTAAGACGTAGAGACCTTTTAAGAGTGGTTGGAGCAAGGACTGGACCAGAGTCGAGAAGAGGTTGTGATGAAGAAGCCTATTGTCTTTGATAAACAATCCCTGGTTTAAACCGTTCAATTGGCGGAACAATATCATCAAAGCTAGGAAGAACAACACCTTTAGACGAGGAAACATGTATGGAAAGTAGTGCTCATGTTCAACAAAAATCACATTTCTAGAAATGTGTAGACGATTAGCCATAGCATTGTAACACAAAAATCCTTTATGAGTTGTACTATAACCCATAAAAGCACATTTAACAGATTGAGCTGTAAGTTTGTGATGCTCATAAGGAGGTAAGTGAACAAAACAAACACATCCGAATGTGTGTAGGTTGCCATAATCAGGATGTACATCAAAAAGATGATAATAATCAGAATCAAAATTCAACTGTTGAGAAGGTAGATGATTAATTAAATAAACTGTAGTGGGCAAAGTTTCTATCCAAAATTTAGATGGAACCGAAGACTGCAAGAGTAAGGTTCATACCATATCCAACAAATGACGATGCTTACATTCAGCCACCCCATTCTGTTGAGAGGTATAAGGACATGATCGTTGAGATAAAATACCTCTCTGTTGCAAAAATGCTTGAAAGGCATGGGACATATATTCCCCACCATTGTCAGAACGTCAAACCTTAATGCCAGTAGAAAATTGTGTCTGTACATAAGCCACAAGTTTTTGAAAAACAACAAATACCTCGACTTTAGTGCGCAAAAAATATATCCATGTGAAACGACTATAGTCATCAATGAATGTCACAAAGTATTTATATTGTGCATGTAAAACAACAGGAGTAATACCCCAAATATCACTATGAATGATGTCAAAACTTGTATTAGCATGACCACCATGACTAGGACAAGGTAATATTTTACTTTTCCCTAATCTACAGGTAGAACAATCAAAAGACAAGTTATGATTAGAACACTGATCTTTACTCCCAAAAAAACCGTGCTTCATTAAATGAGATAAAATGACATTATTTGGATGACCCAATCGTTGATGCCATACTTCAACTTTATTGTCAATAACCATAGAAGCCAAAGACAAAGTACTCGGAACTGAAAATTGCAAAGGAAATAATCTGCCTACTTTAGGCCCCTTCGCGATCACCTTCCCCGACACCTGATCCTGCACAAGACAACCATCACAAGAGAACCGAACATCACAGTTATTAACCACCATCTGACCAATAGAAATCAAACTAGTAGACAACCCTGGAGAGACAAATACATGACGAAAAGAAGGTCCAATATCACCAATGGCTGTAATTGGAAGATTACTGCCATTAGCAATCTAAATATTTTGTATACCAGTATACTGCCGTAGATTATGTAATGATGCAGGTGAACCAGTCATATGATTTGATGCTCCATAATCAACTAACCAAAGAGTAGAAACAATTTACTTTGACCTTGAAGTCCAAGAGCAGAAAATGCTGAAAAAATCATTTGTTAAACCATTTCTGGAGTAAGTGTTGTGGCTGTAGATGTAGAACCAATAGTGTTAGAGTCTTGGACAGCAGCTTGAAAGGCTTGGGCTCTCCGATTTTCAGGGCGTGTAGGATAGTCCTTGATGATGTGTCCATTTTGCTTACAATAATTGCAAAATTTCTTTCCACAATTGCATGCTATATGTCCAAGTTCCTTGCAACTATAGCACTGTACTTGTCCCTTTTCGCGATTCCTCCCTTAAGCAGCATAGGCAATATTGACAACTTCAGATATCTCCTTTGATGCACCTATGATAGTTTGTGTAGCCATTCTCTGTTCTTCTTGCAACAAGTCACCAAGACATACATCAAAAGAAAGAATTGGATTTCTATTTAACAATCCAGCTCTGACCGCTTCAAATTCAAGCCTTAGTTTCATTAGAAACTGGTCACGCTTACTATCTTCATGAACCGCTTGAATACCAGCTAAGGCTTGGCTTGGTACCCTAGAATAGATTATACTAGAGTATTCGCTCCATAAATTAAGAAATCCAGAATAATACTGCTTAATAGAGAGGTTACCTTGGCCGTAGTTACTAATTTCCAATTCAAGCTGAAATCTTCTTGCTGTATTATCTTGATGATATACACGCTTCAAATGATCCCACATCTCCTTTGCTGTATTAAAGGAGTGTAAATTATTCACCATATGAGCTTCAATAGATGCTAGAATCCAAGAAATAATTCTAGCATCCTTTGCCTCCCATTGACAAAATTCTTTTCCATCTCTAGGTAGAAGACCCATCAATATGACTCCAAAGCTCTTTGCCTTTTAGAAACATTCTAAATCCCATACTGCATAATTTTTCCCCATGAACTTGATAGCCAAAGATTCCGTATGTGTTTTTCCAATAGAGTTTTCCATAGACATTCTTTCAAAAAAACAAAGATCTGAATTACAAGAAAGACTGCCAACCACAATATGATTGACCCAATGATATCTTGAAACCAAATGATTGATCAAAATAATCAACCCAAGAAGAATAACAACTCAACAAATTTTGAAAGACACAGAAATTCAAATAACCAGCTCTGATACCATGACAATTTTCTAGATCAAAGACTGAATGCTGTCTTTTGTGCATCTTTTCCATTAAATAGAAACTCTGTACATTCTATTCTAGGTAAGAATATATCTACCTATCAATATATTAATGACACATATGCTAATATACAGCTAATGTACATGATAGAGTAGATCCCATAATTTCAATCATAATCTTTGCAATTATAATAGAATAGATCCCATAATCAGCTGCCCTTGATTATTGCAATGAGTAGACCAGATCCCATAATCAGCTGCCCATAATCAGATCCCATAACCTCTGCCCTTGATACGGTCAGGATCATATCTATCACCCTTGACTCTAGTTGATGCAATAGATTCAAGTTCAGCCATATCTTCTGCTGACAGTTTTACAGACAAAGCTCCTATATTCTGATTGAGGTTTCCAATCTTGGTAGTGCTAGTTATGGGACAAACATCATTGCCTTGGTATGGACCCAGGCCAACGCTTGCTGTGATGGAGTACAACTCTTCCTTGAAGCAATGGCATTGACCCGCTCATACAACTTCTTGTTGTGCTCCAAATTCTCTACTTGAAACCTTGGCATATTCTACATTGTAGGAATTTCAAAATTTAAGCAACTGCAATGCAGAAATTCAAAAGGCCGTAAAGCATGTGTCGTCTACAAAAGACAACAATACGAATAACTTCAAGATCATCATAGTATTGTTTGAAGTGAACAAAGTTCAGGGGAAAGAACAATCTGGTAAGGTGGACTGAGTACTCTAAGAAATCTCAATTGTAGAAGGTAGATCTTGATATACATTTCCCATTAAAGAGGAAACTATAATGCAAGAAATCAGAAGGGAGTAATGAACAGATGGTACTAATTACTTCAAGATGATCAGAAATATTGTTTGACGGGCACAAGTTCAGGGGAAAGATCAATGCATCAAGGTGGACTGAGTACTCCAAGTAGGAAACATCAACTGTTGGAGTTAAAGTTCTGAGATACATTTCCCATCAAAGAGGAAACTCAAAATACAAATCAACTAAATTTGAATCTCAATTTTAGGATAAAATGATTACATGACATTGTTGACTTCTTCTATAGTACATTTTTTTTCCTCATTTAGACATTTTTTTTGCTTTTTATTAATATGATATAGTTTACACTTTACAATGATGTGACCTTGGAGTTTCTTTTGATGTAAATATTCCGAGAATAAAATGTTTATATGCTTATGTTTAATAAGTCCTGAATTGAATGCTGTTCGACAATCTATAACTCTCGTAGCAGTAGCACATCCAAAATGGACCACTATAGCATTCAAAAGTACAATATATAACGTTTAATGCATTCAACTGCAAGGAAAATTATATTCTGCTTTTACATGACCAGATATTTATTCATTACAACCTCTCTGAAGAAACTCCATTCTTCTTATAACTTTACTTGTCTTAACCCTAGAGACAATAGTATGTCAAAATTTATTGGAACAAATACATATCACTCAACTCTTAATATAGTGGAATCCACCATCAGGCACATAGCTAGAAGGAATTATTGCCATAACAAAGTATGTCTTCATGTTCTCTTCCAGGTTGACAAAGGTGGAGTTTCAGAAGTTTGCCAAGTACCAAGGCCAGGCCCATACCTATCACCCTTGACTCCCGCAGAAGCCAAAGATTCAAGTTCCGCCATTTCCTCTGCTGACAGTTTTACAGACAAAGCTCCTATATTCTGATTGAGGTTCTCAATCTTGGTAGTGCCAGGTATGGGGCAAACATCATTGCCTTGGTGATGGACCCAGGCCAATGCTAGCTGTGATGGAGTACAACCCTTCCTTGAAGCAATGGCATTGACCTGCTCGTACAAGTTCTTGTTGTGCTCCAAATTCTCTGCTTGAAACCTTGGCATACCCTACATTGTATGAATTTCAAAATTTAAGCAACTGTAATGCCAGAAATTCAAAAGGGAGCAAAGCATGTGTCGTCTACAAATGAAGACAATATGAATAACTTCAAGATGATTGATAGTATTGTTTAAGGTGTACAAAGTTCAGGGGAAGGAACAATCCAGTAAGGTGGACTGAGTACTCTAAGAAACCTCAATTGTAGAAGGTAGATCCTGAGATACATTTCCCATTAAAGAGGAAACTATAATGCAAGAAATCGGGAGGGAGTAATGAACAGACGGTACTAATTACTTCAAGATGATCAGAAATACTGTTTGAAGGGCACAAGTTCAGGGGAAAGAACAATACATCAAGTTCGACTGAATACTCCACGGAGGAAGCATCAACCGTTGGAGTTAAGTTCTGAGATACATTTCCCATCAAAGAGGAAACTTAAAATACAAATCAACTAATTTTTGTTTGTTTGAACGATGGAGGTACTACTATGAACGATAGAGGAGGTACTACTATGAAGTATATTTCTGACCAATGAAACTCAGTTTTAGGATTAATGGTAAAGGAAAAATGATAGTTTCACAGGACAGCATAAGTTCTGTGCCTGAGATTAAATGATGAAATTGAAGTCCAAGGTCCATTTCCCCTCAAAACCGTAAAGAGACTTTTACTTAAAAAGTGACATAGTTTCTTCCTCTTTTGACATCTTTGCACTTTAAAAATTGATACTACCCATTGCTTGTGATAGACAACAATAGGGATATCAAGCATGATTGCCACTGAATGTGGTAAAAATAGATGAGTGAGAAACTTATTCGAACTATAAACAATGTATACTAAAAAACTCCATCTTTTTCGATATGCACAAACCTTTCGGTAGTCACCTTCAGCCAAATTCTCGATCAGCTTTGGACCTAATGAGAAGAAACCTCGTCCAAGTGGACTGTATGCAACAATCCCTATGCCAAGCTCTCTGAAAGATTATACCAAAAACTGAATTGAGAACTTAATATTTCTTCTAGACCATGTAGAAAATGCAGCAGAATATATGCACTACCTGCATGTGGGAATAATCTCTTCCTCGACATCTCTGGTCCACAATGACCACTCCAACTGTACAGCTGTTATTGGATGAACAGCATGTGCTCTTCGAATTGTTGAAGCTGAGGCCTCAGACATACCTATATACTTTATTTTACCCTCTTCAACCAGTTTCTTAAGCTCTCCTATCTAGAGAATTTCAATGGACAAGAAGATGCTAAGCTGACTTATTACATTCAGCACTTAGGCAGATAATCAAAATATTACGTGCAAAAAGTAAAAGTTGCACTAGTTCATCGAAGTCATGGACAAAGTACACGTCAAACTGAAATCACTAATTGATGAAAATGGCAATAAGCATCCGGTGATACTTCTCTATGTACAGCCCACCAGAGGACTTAGTTCTACTGGACCATGCCAACATAATGCTCCTCCAATATGATTACATGGCATTGTTGACTTCTATATATAATAATGGCCGTACATACCAATTATCAGTTGCCAATTTTGCTTGATTTCCTTTATACTGATTAAACTGCAAGAAAGTTTCTACCCAATACTCAGGGAAACCAAGACAATTCTTTGCTGATTACATGAGAAAGAGAAGACAGAAATTATTTCATAAAAGCTGAATGTAAGCAAGCTGCTGAAATCTTTGAATTGTTTGGAGAGGTCAATGGGGCAGTTGCAGCTGGCTTTGACAATTAGACAAAAAGCTGTGCTCTGAACAAAATGAGTACCATGTTTTTTAGATATCAATAATAAATGTCTATCTGCAGCGCTTTAGGCACCAACTGAAAATGGTTGACAAGGTAAGTAAATAGCAGATCATTACTCAACCAGATAGCCTATCTCAAATGAAAGAGAATGCTCAGGTCTCTTGGTTCTAAAGAAAGCTGTACAATGTATAGGATGATATCCACCTGTATATCCCTCAGCAGGACCGTCAAGCTAATACAAGACATTTTCATTGTTTTCACTTTTCAGGATGCCTTGTGCAAAATCAGCTATACCATACTGCAGATTAGCCGAGACCATAAGGTTGACTAACTTTTCTGTGCAACTTTTGAAGAATTGAAACGGAAATGAAACTGAATTATTCAAAATTTGGAGTTGATCAAATTTTTGTTTCATCAAGAATGAGGTGGAGCTAAAAAACAAGAAAGGCAAGACAAGCAAACCGTGACTTCAATGGGCACACGTGTATCGATGCGATGTTGATAATAGAGATCAATGCAGTCCACATCAAGCCGCTTCAAACTCGCTTCACAAGAAGCCCTCACATAGGCTGGATCACCACGTACATCAAACTTCCCATCCTGAAAACTGACTGCAAATTTTGTTGCTAGCTCCACTTTCACTCTTATTCCTTCCTTCAAGGCCTAGAACCATGGTTTCATTATATTAATCATCAAGGACATGAACATTATTGCATGGTATAGCAAGTGGATTTGTGATTTCATGGATGGCACAGTTCCTCTGGAGTTTTTCCAACACTTCATTGTTTAGGCTATCCCACTTCTTTATATAGCAAAGGATATGAAAATTATGTAATCCTTGGAGTTTAGAAGTCTGATACTCTTAAGGACCCAATCCATTTTCTCTTTTTGTTTTATATTTCTTCAACTTAAATTTACAATCTAGCTTTTTCATTCTTAAGATTTGATGCACAACATGAACGTACACAGAATCGTGCACATGCACATGCACATTAATACAAAAATAGGGAACTGATCAATGTAGATGAATTAGTGCCCTTTTAGGAACCATTTGGATCAAAGGAA